TCCTCTTGTCCTCTGTGGCTGGGCCTTGTCCTCTTCTTGTCCTTGTCTTGGCCGCGCCCCTGAACTCTGTGGCTGGGCTCTGTGGCCCGGCTCTGTGTCCGGGTCTTGTCCTCCTCTTGTCCTTGTCTTGACCGCGCCCCTGAACTCTGTGGCTGGTCTCTGTGGTCCGGCTTACTGGAGAGGAGTGTGGCCGAACAAATAGCGATGTCAATGCCGACAAAAATCATTGACGAAGCAGTTTGCTCTTGGGTAAAGGTAGGGCGTACCAAGAAGTCGATTTTTGACTAATATTGGTCAAAGCGAATCTTTTTGAAGTTGTTTGGGGTCTATGCTTGTATATTTTTTAATTCCTTTGTATATCATGCGGCGGTGAGATTTTCCCCAAACAGTTTACTGTTGGGGTTCTATCTTAGAAACAGAAGAGCTGGTCACACTGGTTGCGTTCCTGAACTCTGTGGCTGGGCTCTGTGGCTGGGCTCCGTGGCTGGGCTCTGTCCAGGCCTTGTCCTCCTCTTGTCCTCTTGGCTGGGCTCTTTGTGGCTGGGCTCTGTGTCCAGGCCTTGTCCTCCTCTTGTTTTCTGTGGCTGGGCTCTGTGTCCGGGCCTTGTCCTCCTCTTGTCCTCTGTGGCTGGGCTCTGTGTCCAGGCCTTGTCCTCCTCTTGTCCTCCTCTTGGCCGCGCCCCTGAACTCTGTGGCTGGGCTCTGTGTCCCGGCCTTGTCCTTGTCTTGGCCGCGCCCCTGAACTCTGTGGCTAGTCTCTGTGGTCCGGCTTACTGGAGAGGAGTGTGGCCGAACAAATAGCGATGTCAATGCCGACAAAAATTCATTGATGAAGCAGTTTGCTCTTGCGTAAAGGTAGGGCGTACCAAGAAGTCGATTTTTGACTAATATTGGTCAAAGCGAATCGTTTTGAAATTGTTTGGGGTCTATGCATGTATATTTTTTCATTCCTTTGTATATCATTCGGCGGTAAGATGTTCCTGCTTGAAGTTGAGAAACAAAAGAGGCGTTTGCCCTATGCAAAAGCAGGCGCAAGCAGCAGTGCTGGTGTAGCCAAGCTGTGGTATGGCACTTTTTTCAATCGCGCTCTGTGGCTGGAGCGAAGCATGCTTTGCCTTGTGAGCATTTGTTCAGCTACCAGCTCGGATCAGCCACTCAAAGACCAATGTTATCCAGTGGTCCTTCGCGCGACAGAGTGGAAGCGCGGCTCGCCGCTACCGTCGGAGTCGGCTCGTCGGCGCCAGGTGAAGCTGTGCCCCGCCCACGAAGAGAGCCGGATCACCGAGTCCAAAGAAAAAACCATGTTCATGACGCTGGCGCGGAACCCTCCCCGGACGACGGCGGTTGTGTCGTGCATGGCTATATATTCGGTTTCAGGGCAGTTTGGAGTGCCCGACACGTCCTCAAAAGCGGTCTTGGAACTTTGTGTAGATTGATGCAGATACCTAGAAGATAGGCTACAGGTCTGACGGCATTGGCTGTTCCTCTGAGGTCCTCTTTTTGACCAACAGCGCAATTTGAGATGCCAAAATGAGTTCTTTCTTGATGCCATCATATAGCAGTCTGACACGGAAGGAGTATGTAGAATTCCCTCCATCTTGGCCACCTTGGCCATTTCTTTTCGCATGACAGGAATTGCCGGATGAACCTCTCTTCAAGGACAATTTGGACTTCATTCCGCAGGCAGCTGGCGATTTCACGGTGCATGTTCTGATGCTCGAAAGACATTCACTCTTGATGTGCCTTTTGGGTGGATTTACTCCCAAGCCTGGTTGCTCAGCTGGGTGGATCAACCCGACTGAGCTTGGGCAAGTTGAGTCAGCGAATGGACCTTTTTGGGGAAGTCGAGCAGCACCGAGAAGCACTGAGAAGCTCAGGTGCCTCGGCGTCGGTGCCTCCTCTGTTGGAATGCCTCCGAGACGCTTTGCCTTCTCATTCTCGTTCGGCCAGGTGCCACTGTTCAACCTTCTGGAGAAGTTCAATGGTGAGAAGCCCTTCGAAAAGATTGCCAAGGGTGGTGAGTCCCGTGAGATCCGGAGGCACGTCACGTCGCGATCAACCAACGAGCCACTGCGAAGACCTCCGAGACGTATGGATTTTGACCATGTCTTTGGGGAGAGTTTGTCATGGAAACCATTGCCATGGCTACCTTTGTCTTACGTGCAACGGATCTTCAGGATCCGACAGATCGCAACGAAGTGAACAATAAGGCTTACTAGACTTGTTCACTTCTAGTCGCTTCTTTTTACTACAGGAAACGATTCCCAGTGAAACGATTCCCAAGGAAGTTTCTAGCTACTAGTAGCTTCTAGTAGCTTCTGTTCACCTTTCCTTTTCCCGCAGCATCCGTTCAGCGCTCGGCGACGTGGGAACTTGCTCCGCCACCCGGGCTGTTCGGGCGCTTCGGGCTCCGCAGCCCACAATGGGGAGCCCGGTGTCTCCGAGAAGCGTCGAGAAGCTGGCGGCCACGTTTTCGGACCCTAATCGGGACCGGATGGCGATCCCCCATGCACCGGATGAGGTGAACTTTGGGTCCATTATGGATCCCTGGCGCGAGTCCGTTTTGGGGCACCGTTTTGTTGTTTTTCCCCAAACAGTTTACTGTTAAGGGTTCTCAATGCTTTAAAGAATGGTCACCTTGGTGCTGGATGGTCTGGTCGGGTTCCCGGCCGGCTTGTCTCCCACTTCCTTTTATTTGTCTCCCAGTTCTTTTCATTTGTCTCCCAAGCTCGGTGCTTGTGGTCGGGTTCGCGGCTGGCTTGTCTCCCACTTCCTTTCATTTGTCTCCCACTTCTTTTCATTTGTCTCCCAGTTCTTTTCCCACTTCCTGTCATATGTCTCCCACTTCTTTTCATTTGTCTCCCAGGCTGGGTGCTTGTGGTCCGGTTCCCGGCTGGCTTGTCTCCCACTTCCTTTCATTTGTCTCGCGCTTCTTTTCATTTGTCCGGCTGGGTCTTGTGGTCGGGTTTGCGGCTGGCTTGTCTCCCACGTGCTTTCATTTGTCTCCCACTTCTTTCATTTGTCTCCCAGTTCTTTTCATTTGTCGCCCAGTTCTTTTCATTTTTGGTCTCCCAGGCTGGGTGCTTGTGGTCGGGTTCTCGGCTGGCTTGTCTCGCACTTCCTTTCATTTGTCTCCTACTTCTTTTCACTTGTCTCCTTTCCTTTCATTTGTCTCCCAGGCTCGGTGCTTGTGGTTGGGTTCCCGGCCGGCTTGTCTCCCACTTCCTTTCCCACTTCTTTTCATTTGTCTCCCAGTTCTTTTCATTGTCTCCCAGGCTGGGTGCTTGTGGTCGCGGGTTTGCGGCTGGCTTGTCTCCCACTTCCTTTCATTTGTCTCCCA